TTTACACTGCACATCTAGGGCTTTCAGAGAAGAGGAAAATAATATGTAATCGGCGCCATGAAAATAAATCGATTAAGGAGAAAATCGTGTTTTTAAAAACCAATAATATTGGGGGGGGCTGATGTTGAAATAGCCAGAGCCAAAAATGAGATCGAGAAATACAGTGAACATGAAAAATCGAGAGCTAGAAATATCAAGGACGAGAGAATCTCCAGTGATTTACAATTATCGTGAGTGTGCAATAGGAAGAGCGAAATCGAGAATCATCTGATCGATAAAGTGAACTTGAAAAATCTAGAGCTAGAAATATCGAGAGCTAGAATGATCAAGAGCGAGAAAGATCGAGAGCGAGAGAATCTCCAGTTATTTACAATTATCGTGAGTGTGCAATAGGAAGAGCGAAATCGAGAATCATCGTGATCGATACAGTGAACTTGAAAAATCCAGAGTTAGAAATATCGAGAGCTAGAAATATCGAGAGCTAGAACATCGAGAGCTAGAAAGATCGAGAGCGAGAAATATCGAGGACGAGAGAAACTCCATTGATTTGCAATTAAAGGGTGTGAAATAGGTAGAGCAAAATCGAGCATCATCGAGATCGAGAAACATCGAGATCAAGAAAAATTACAGTGTTTTACATTTTGTATTTCAACTAGTTGTTTGTTTCCCTTTCCCTATCTTCTTAATCCGTGATTATGTATCATGTTCAATTATTAAATTTTTGAACAACTTGCGTGTTTCCGTTTCTCTATCTGCTTAATTTGTCATCATATATCTTGTTCAATTTGTTGCAGGTGCACAATGGACCATCAGTTGAGGATTAAGGAGAATAACCGCTTTTCGGCTCAAGCTACCAGCATGTCTCACTTGAGCAATGTCAACAGGCTTATCAAGGATATGCTCACAGCAGACCAACTTGATATGTTTAGTAGAAGAACAATATTTGGTCGATTTGTCGACTTGGAGATGATGTTTTGCAGTGGTGTAGTTCATCACTTTCTGTCAAGGGAGGTTGCTGGGAGTAGTGACGACAACATGAGATTCTTAATTGGTGGCAACGTATTGACATTCTCGAAGGATCAATTCATGCTTGTAACGGGATTGTGGCGGCTACCCGGTAAGGTGGTCCAGAAAAAGATTGGAAAGAATAGGTTGCGGAGGAAGTACTTCAACGATGAAGCCTCCATGAGTTTGTGGAGGTTTACAAGCAGACTGATTTTGAGGACGATGAGGACGCCGTTAAAGTGACATTAATTTTGTACACGGAGCTTGTGATGATGAGAAAGAGCAAGAGCAAGTCGAAGGTTGACATCGACTTGTACAACCACGTCGATGACTTGTACTACTTCAACCATTTGGACTGGAGTTCTGATGTTTGGAGTAGGATAGTTAACGGCCTGAAGCGTGCAATGAATGGAAAAGTTGCGCTATACAAGAATAAAGTAAGAACGAACAAAAAGTATCTAGTAAAGTATAGCCTACCGGGATTTCCGCTTGCGTTTCAGGTAATCAATACGTATACATACGAGATTGTTATTTGTGAAAACTTTTTTAGGTGTGAGACTAAACTGAAATTTTATATTCAGGTGTGGATATATGAGGTTGTCCCATCTCTCATCACTCCCGGTGTCAATCGTTTGAGCGAGACCGCCATTCCACGGATAATTCGGTATTCGTGTAGTAGAGTCGTCGGTACAAAAGATCTGGGGGAGGAGGTCCTTGCTTCAGCGGTGGTAAGCGATCTAGAATATATTTATTGTTGTGTAGTTGTAATGGTATTTACACTTTCTTATGTTCTTCTGATGTACGTTCAGTTGGTCATATCTTATCCACTCGTGGACACGGAGCTGGATAAAGACTACCAGAGGTGTCCATTGGACGAAAAAGAGGTGGTTGATTTAAATGCACCTGGGTGTTCCACCTCCGATAGCGATGATGGACAAAATCCTTCCCCCATCACCGACAATTTTGGCGCTGAAGACGATCTCCCACTCGACGATGCGCATTCGTTGGAAACGAATGTACAGGCAGTGCGGGATGAGTATTCGGATATGCCACGTACAGAGGCCGCATCCGAAGGTGGGCAACGGACACCAGTCGAAGTACTTCGACCAAGTACTTCTATTCGGTCGAATGTGGGGCAAAGCACGCGGCAATCACCGCGAGAGACGTCACGTGATGCTTGCCCTACACAACAACACGACACCCGTGGATCGAATGATAGATTCGGGGCTATGGAGAAAAGGCTGGATCTTTTAGCTTCGGACATGGCGGAGGTGAAGACGGATTTGGTGGATGTCAAGTCGGACTTGAGTGAAATGAAACTCATGCTTCAACGATTGTGCCAGGTAGCCTTTTTCTATGACTTGGTATAGTTCGTATACTGTATGTATTCATTCAATCGAAGTGCTAATACGTTAGTTCGTTTGCAGATCGATAGGCGCGAGGTGAATATTGGTGTCTCTTCGTCGAATACAGTCCACGTGTCACATCCATTGGTATCCATCCAATATTATCCCCAAGCATGATGGGGATGTTGATGACCATCAACCTGGAGGTTCCAATGCTGGAAAGGATGATGATGTGGTTCATGTAGAAGCGTCGTTGCATGAAAAGGCAACAGATGTTGTAGAGATGACCATACACCCATCCGATCTTGAAGATGCTGAACTAGCCAACCCCTCGCATATCGTCGATTCGGTGGATTCTGTGGATGCCGTGCTAGGTTAGGTGGAAGATTTCCATCCTGGGTGGACGTCGACGTAGTGTACAACCCGCTCTGTATCAAGGATCATTGGGTCCTGGTTGTGATAGATATGACCCAGTTCGAGATTTTTGTGTACGACTCATTGCCAAGCCATATTTCCACGTCGAAGTTGATGACAGACCTGCGGCCGTCGAGTCATACAATCTCATCGCTTTTGTACGCATGTGGGTTGATGGATACGGCCGATGCAAGCTGAGGAAGACTCTGTGGCGTGTATACCGTCCTACGACCGACACGAGGCAGAAAGGTAGTATAGACTGTGGTATTTTTGCATGTAAATTTTTGGAATATCTTGTGTCTGGTAATACTTTAGAAACTCTAGTTCAGTCTGAAGTGTCGCACATTAGAAGGCAGTATGCGACACAACTTTGGCATAATGAATCTTACTTTGAATGAACATTTCTTGTTTTTTTGTCATTGCATCTTATAAGCTTGCTCTCGATGTAAATCGATCTCAATGTTATTCGCTCTCGATCTCGATCTAACTCGATGTTCATCTCGATCTCGATATCGCTCTCGATCTAACTCGACCTAACTTGATCTAACTCGTTCTCGATGTTATTCGCTCTCGATCTCGATCTAACTCGATCTCAAAGTAAATCGTTATCGCTCTCGATCTAACTCAATCTCGATCTGACATGATCTCGATTTCGATATGTCCCCTCTCGACGCGCGCTTTCTCGATATTGTTGTTACAGCGCATGATCACGATCATTCTCGCTCTCGATATTGTTTTTTATTCATTGTCGTTTGTACTTCTTTTATTTTCACACACGTCGTCAGATGCACTTAATGTGATGTGGCTGATTGTACTGCATGGCAAAGAGTGTAATGGTAACATGTCATTTACCAATCACTCGCATTAATTTTATTTGATTTTGTCAATTTTCCCAATATCAAAAAACTCATTAAGTTCTTCTTCCTTCTTCTTCTTCTACTTGCTCGTTTGTTGAAGCATCAGAAGGACATTGATTGCATTACACTTCCTTATCACGCTGTAAGCACTCTCTCACAACCATTAATGTGTATTCCCGTGTTAAATTAACTATTCTGATGATTAATACATCAGACTTCCTAACACATCTGTCACGTTTTTTTTAACTATCCCACAATCACTGAACTATAAATCGTCTATCTTGCAAGTATGTTTTAAATAGATACCGTTTGAGGACTCTGTAGCCTGCATGTTTATTCGATAATCTGAAATCTATGTATTTGTCCCCTTCTAATGCAGGATGGAGATTGGTAAAAGTTTGTTCATAAGATTTAGTGCTACGTGGGAAGACAACACAAATTCGTATGTCGGCGGTGAGCTGAAAGGAATAATTGTCTCAGTTACAGTAACGTTCAAAGAACTGAAAAATCGGTTGTACAGAGTGATGAAAGTCGACCAGAATGGGTACGACCTGGTAATTAGGGTACCGTACAACTTGGCATGCGATTCACCACCAATGTTCGTAACGGATGACGATGACCTCCGATTTGCATTAGTCCAAGAACAGGTTTCTAAAGTCCAACTGTTTGTATTGACTGTCCTTCGCGAAAGCATTGACCTACAATCATCTAGATTAAATCAAGATGGAGAGTAATTCGTTCCAAACGGAGAATCTGTACCGGAAGAAGGTTCCACGGGAGTAGAGGAGTGGGGGTTGAACGACGTATACATGCACGACATGTATAGTTCATACTGTATATACACTCAAGACTCGGAATTGGTCACCCCCGCAACACGCATGCCTTCCGTAATGCACGTCCCATCAGATGAAATAAATAATATAGCACAAGTACAACATGCTAGTCCTCGTACGGAACATGTTTTTCCGTTTGATGAATTAAATAATACAGCACAAGTACAACATGCAAGTTCTTTGACAGACCATGTTTTCCCATCAGTAGAACCCTCATCCACTGAGCCCGGTAATGTTGGTGATCACCAAATACCAATACCTCAAGCCGCAAGCACCGTGACTATAGAACAGGCCACAAGGTACAACCTTTTACCAGGTGGATCGGAACTGCACGTGGGGAAGATATTCGTTTTAAAGCAAGACCTGCGTATGRTGCTGTCAAATGCAGCGATGCGTTCTAATCGTGAATACAAGGTCAGTAGGTCAACGAAATCAAAGTTCACTGTTCGCTGTATCGACAATACATGCAATTGGAGGGTTGCAGCCCACTTCGTCGGTAAATCTTCGATATTTTGTATATCAAAGTATGTAAATGCACACACTGCATGATTGACACTGTGAACGACGACCACAAACAGGCGAGCAACTGGGTCGTAGCGAATCTTATTAAGGATAGAGTTGCTGGAACCGGTCGTATTTACAAGATAAAGCATATTAAGGAGGATGTCCGTAAAGAGTTCGGGGTGAACATAAGTTATGACAAGGCCCATCGAGCACGAGAGTTAGCATCTGCTATTGTTAGGGGCCGACCGGAGGACTCCTACATGCATCTCCATGCATACAATGAAGCGATAAAAATAGAGAATCCATGTGCTATTTTCCACATCGAGACTGAAGGTTCGCTTAACTTCAAATACTTGTTCATGGCATTGGGTGCTAGCATTAGAGGGTTTCAGCCAATCACAAGGCGTGTAATCATGGTTGATGGCACACATTTGAAGGGGAAGTTCAGAGGAGTGATACTAATAGGTGTCGCCATGGACGGGAATAATCAAATATATCCACTTGCATTCGGGATTGTAGACAACGAAAGCGATGCATCGTGGAAGTGGTTTATGAAGAACTTGAAGGACATGATCGGACACCCACCAGAACTTGTATTCATATCTGATCGACATGTAAGTATCACCAATGCAACCAGTGAGATATTCCCGGACGCATCCATGCTATATGCACTTATCACCTAGGGAACAACATAAAGACTCGATTCAAGAATGCTGCATTTTATAAATTGTATCAGGATGCAACGTATGTGTATCGGAAGTCACAGTTCACGTACTACTGGAACCAGATACTATCGGTTGGATCGGGTTCACTTGCCAAATACTTACAAGAAATTGGGGTAGAACGGTGGGCCCGATGCTACCAAGTTGGTAGAAGATATGAAAACATGACGACAAACAGCGCTGAGTCGGTAAATGCCCTCCTTCAAGAGGCTAGAGAGTTACCTATCACTAAGATTGTCGAGTTCATCCGCGACTTGCTACAAAGATGGTTCCAGGAAAGAAGGACTCACTAGTCCACCCAAAACACCTCTCATTCAGACTATGCAGAAGAGCGACTTGCACTACAGTTTGAGAAGTCTCATCGCTACACAGTCAAATCAGTCGACTGGTGCATGTTTCATGTTGAGGACGGTGGCTTGGACGGGAAGGCTGATTTGAATGCCCGTACATGTACATGCATGGAGTTCCAGTACATGGGCATTCCATGTTCGCACGCAATTGCAGTAGCGAGGCACAAGAATATAAATTGTCACACGTTGATCGATCCATGCTACAGTGTGGACTCCCTAATTGGTGCCTACGCCGAACCAATCTTACCGGTAGGCCACATGTCGGAATGGAAAAGGCCAGTTGATTACCAGCCTATTCCCATCCAACCACCAGAACTTGTTAAACATGCAGGCCGGCGTAGAACGCAACAGATCACCTCAACCGGTGAGCGTCGTGTTGTCAACAAGTGTTCTTGATGCGGTACATCGGGTCACAATAGACAGACATGTACTAACCCAATTACGATGGCACGGACATCTGCATGCATATATGGGGGGGACGGTGTAAGTCAATCAGATAAGGCAGTCCCTCTATGAGAACACCCAATTTCTGTAGTAGTATATTTGTTCTTCAGTATCTGGAAGCTGTCTCGCTCTCGCTGTCTCTCTGTCTTGCTCTCGATGTCTTGCTCTCGTTGTGTAACGCCCCGAGTCCCTCGGGTTAGTTGGTCTCGAATCAAGAGATTTTTTTTATTTAATTTCTAAATTAATTGTTAAATTAAATTTATACATATTCATCGGGCTCTAAACTCCAATTAAATTTATATTCGTCGGACTTCGTGTAGTGGGCCTTGTTTTAAGGATGGAATGGGCTCCTTTCTCCTCTTGGGCTTGGGTATGTTGGGCTTTTGGGTTGGGTTGGTTTTAAAACAAAAAGAAAGAAAAGCAAAAGGGGAAAACCCTAAGCTCCATCTTCTTTTCCTCCTCTCCCTTGCACAGCCGCCCCCTTTGTTTTCCGGCGACCCAGCCTCCCTCCGACGACGACGTCTTCA